TTCCTGTTGGTCACAGCTGAGTCAGTGGTGGAGGATCAGAACCAGGAGGAGGAAGGTTCTGGTTCTACAGGATCAGAACCAGGAGGAGGAAGGTTCTGGTTCTACAGGATCAGAACCAGGAGGAGGAAGGTTCTGGTTCTACAGGGTCTAGTTTGAGCAGTTTATTTTGGGTGAATTTGTAAATGAGACGTGTAGAACGACGTGATTTTGATTAAATGTGTCGATTTTAAGCTCAGGTTTGTTAAATCTTTCTGATTGAGCAACGCGTCACATTTGATTAGTTGACAGAACATTGACAATCTCATCAACTCTGTGTTTTTGCCGTTTCTGTCGGATAAGTTGTGTGATTTTGGTGATATGATAGAAAGAAACCCAACAAATATCAAGATTCCCTTTGAGCAGCTGTTTGGAGGAAACCTGTTTAAGAAGAACATCTGGTCACCAGATATAAGACAGTTTGTTAAACTTGAGTTATCAGAGAAGCCATGATCAGGATTTTGTTCCTTCTCAGCGGTGAAGTTGAGCAGCAAGTTGCCTGGAGGCTGGTTGTGTTGCAGACGTCAGCAGCGGAGCAGGTTGACCCCAGCAGCTTTGAGTCAACACATTTCATCATGTCCACAAACGTCCTCCGTCTGCCGCCTGGTTAATGTTTGTCTGCTGCTGGTTTCTGAACTGCCTCCACCACCAGCAGCTTTATCTGCTCCACAAACAACCTGACGCCATCTTTGGGGCCGCTGAGATTAAAATGGATTCATTTCTGTTGCGTCAGATTTGGTGCAGTTTCTGTCTGCCTCTAAATACTACATCACCCATGAGCCTCAGCAGCAGCTCAGAGTGAAGCTGATGAATGTTTTCATTCTCCACTGATGTGTCCTGAATCGTGAATCACGGAGTTAAAAATGGTCTCTGACTTCTTCAGTAGATTTCAAACTGAAGATGTAGACGCTTTCTAAATGTAGAATTCATAGCTCAGCTGCTGGATTTATTCAATTAGTTTTTGTTCTTATAGTCAGTTGGATAATGTTTCTGGTAACCGTCCAGTTTTGCTAAATGAGCAGCATTGTGATTGTTATTTTGGTTGTACGTTGAGGGAGTCTTCAGTGTTCGTGTTGTCGACAGCACAACAGAGGTTTAGCGGGTGACGGGCACCGTGACAGAACCTACTGTATAGGTTCGTGGCTTCAGGACAACTGAAGCCAGGTCTTTAATGCAACTGAGATGATTTCCATTTGATATGAAGTGTCTGTGATTACAAATGGCTTCATCTGCATTACGAAAACCTCCACTGTGCTTAGTTTTTATTAAGTAATAAATTATTTGATTATTTATGACATGGCCGATTTATCGGTTGTGCACACGGGTT